GGGACGCAAAGCGTAAGGGAGTCCGATTTGATTCGTCGTTTCTCATTTGTGCGGTCTCAGGGGCATTCCAATTTCCGCGAGGCACTGATCCTATATTTCAGCGCGCGGGCGAGGATCCGGGCGCTGTATGAAGGACAACAACACAAAAAAGTCAGTAAAAAGTGAAGGGTATCCGCCTCTGTGTGTTTTCTGCTCGCTGCACGATCTGCGAGGGGCATCGTACGCAGTGAAAAAGTGCAGAGACGCATCGGCATTGAGAGACATGTCAAGAATTCGAAGAACGGATAAGAAAGGTCAAGAAAATATGGGTAAAAAGAAAGGAGAATGGCCTGACCCGGAGTTGAACCTGGATCGCCTGCAGAAATGGATGATATCCCACTTAAGGAGAGCAGGGGCATTAACCGTTATTCTACCAGACCAGATTATGGTAGGGTACTGCACGAGCTACAGAATGGATGAGAAACTGGAGTTCGCATTTGGATTGCAAGAAAAGCGCGAGGTCTTTTGCAACAGATGTACTAGCCGCATCTTCTGCATCCAATTCCCATGGCAACTCCGGATCCCTCACATGAGCTCTGTCGACTGGAGGTCGGAATGGCCATAATAAGTAAGTAATTCAAGAACAAGAAACAAAAGAAAATTCCATGTGTAATGGATTATGGCCTGACCCGGAGTCGAACCGAGAAAACCCGCATTAGAAATGCTTCACAGTGGTTAGATAGAGCAGGAGCACTAGCCGTTATGCTATCAGGCCATGTCCTTGTTTGGTACTTCACAAGGTACGAGCTCGATTTAAGAAATAGAGTTCGAACGAAACTTGAAGCAGGAGTTGAACAGGGATCTGCTGGATAAACACTACGGCACGTCTAATCGACGCAAATTACTAGCAGTCCGTAGCGTACAATTCTGTATATACCAGCTCCGGGTCTAGGAGGACACCGCGGGCGTGGAGTAATTGAATATCACATCGATCCATTACCGCTCAACCATCTACGCTCGAACTGAATATAAACGCGCACATCTGGCAGGTGGACACAGGATTAGCGCGAGGTATCGGTGTAGACAGCGGACGCGATATGAGCTCGGGAGCGGGGAGACGTATTTGCTATTTCAAAAATCATCAATCAATGTCGCAGAGAAGAGCTGGCTTAATATTCCGCCCAGGATACACGGACTTGGGATGTGTGCACAGATTTCTGCCTTATTCGTGTCCTTGTGGCGAACGAAGCGCACATGGGGTGGGGTAGGGGGTACGCGTCAAGCTTGTATTCTTGTGGCGAGCGCAGCGCCCTCAGCCACTTGGAAAAGACGGCGAAAAGTGCGATTGCATGCCACCGGGGGGAGTCGAACCCCTGTCTCCCTCGCATACAATGGACACAGATGAGTGAATGAGGGCACCCACCACGGTCCAGGACGGCTGATTCTGGTACATAGGTGAGCCTCGAGTTGAGTCGGACAGCAGTGATCATGAAGCAAAAAGAGAGAGAAGGAATGCCGTCGGGAGGAATCAAACCTCCGATTCCCTTCTGGTGGAAATACCATGGGCCAATTGAGTGAAGGCGACCACCATAGTCCACGACGACTGGTATTCGTATATATGGCGTCAACAGTGGCGGAGAAACAAAAGTCACAACGGGAAGGAAGAAAGGCACTTTGACAAGTATTATACAATGCCGCCGGGAGCACTCAAGCCTCCTTCTGTCTTCAGCACACCATTGATTGGGGGAAGTTGCTATCCATGTTCACTACAGCTGATATCCATAGATGCGTGAGCTGTGGTATGAATGAATAAATAGTCGAGGACATTTGGGAATTGAGAGAACCGGCACGATCGATGCACGGCGATGATCGAAATGCACGGCGGCAACGGCGGCATCTCAAGCGGACCTTGATTCAGGTGATGTCCGACTCGGATCAGGCATTATTGATGCGTATCTTGGTGATGGCGGACCCGCTGAAGGGTAGAAATACGGAGCATAGATAGACACAGCGAGCAATACAGAATTATGCATATACTAAAAAGTTCACCCCGCCAAGCGCGCACGCCACATCGCGTGTTATCCTTCGACAACCGGACTGTCGCGGACATGACCTTCCCGACCGGCACCACCTCCGTCCAGAATGGGTCCTCGCTCGCGCGCCACATAACCTGGGTGTCGAGGTCGTCAGCCACTTCCGCGTCCCGGGCGCCTGCGCGAGTGACCATAGTGTGACGGTATTCACGCGCGCGACACGTGCAGTGAAGTTAGGGGCACGTTCCATTTATCTGGGTAACCCCATGGGAGGAGACATCGACGATGCAGCGGCTGAGCTGCCGGATGGGCGAGTGGTTCTTCAAGCGGGGGGAGGGAGGGAGCGCCGATGGAGGGAGGATGGTAGAGAGCGGAGAGGATTTGCGCCTCGCATAAGCCTATCAATATTTCAGTCTCCGACTTTGATGCCGCCGGTATGCCGCCGTGGATCGAAATAGATTGATGCCGGTTCTCTCAATACCCAAGCTTTCACAAATAGTCACCCCGTCAAACCGTGTGAATCATGGTGATCGATCACCCGATCATTCGGCGTGTACCGGCAAACACTTTGCTCTTGACCGCTACAACACGCGAGGTACGAGCGAAAATTGTTGTAGCGTCTGTTTATAAGAGATTACTTGACCGCTAGTCTGTAGTTAACCGCGCGCTGATATATTGGAGGTCGACCTTATTACGTAAACTTCGGAGCTTGAATTCAATTCCCACGCCCCTTTACCTGCGCCGTCATTGCTCTGCCGTTCTCTTCCCTTCCATCACGCTCAGCTTTGTGCTCACCCCTTCCATGGCCTCTCGATATCACTGGAGAGACCCTAAAGGCCGTCGTACCCTCAAAGAAATCGTCAAGAAGCTCATCCCACAGTGGGAAAACGGCCTCTATCCCGCACAGAGCGAGCTCATTACTCGTGTCCCCGACGGCGAAGATGTGTTCTGCTCGATGGCAACGGCCCGGGGAGGCGGCAAATCTGCGACATTTGCGGTACCGATCATTGTTCTCGGAGAGATGGCGCGTAACCCTCATTTATATCCTAACCTCCCTGTCCGCGCACTTCCGATGGGACTTGTAATAACCCCGACTAAGGGTCTGGCAGCGAATATTGTACGATGCATACTATGCATCTTTTCCACGCACTGAAACTCTTCCAGGTCCTTGAGCTCAAGAAGTTGAATGTCCCCGCATTGGCGTATTGCCATGATACAATCACGGATGCGCGCAAGAGCGGTCGTAACCTCGTGCTCGAAATCTCGGAGTGAAAAACTTGAAGTGTCGTTTGCGTCGACCCTGAGCACCTCAGGGACAAGGCCTGGCGCGAAATATCCGCCTCCGACACCTTTCGTACGAACATTGTCTATGGATGTGTCGATGAAGCTCACTGCCCTGATCAACGAATGGGGCACGGAGTTTCGTCTGCTATTCAAGCATATCGGCGCCTTTTTTCGCGGTCGCCTCCCCTCTTTTGTGTCGATCATGGCCCTTTCCGCGACGATTCAGCCGGGACCTCCATCCACTAGTATACAAAGGAGCCTCGGCATGTCTGGAAAAGACTTCTATGTCTTTCGGAGTTCCAACGAGCGTCCCAATACCCAATTTATCATGCAACCTCTTGAGCATGGACTGGGAGGCAAGGATTTCCCAGCCCTGATTCCCTACCTGAACTCTGGTCGCAAAACCGTGATTCACTGTCGCACTATTGCCGACGTCTTCCGTGTCTTCGTCTATCTATGGAAGGCTCAGCCGGAGGGAGTGGATCGTTTGAAACGGGTTCAAATGTATCACTCCCTCCGGTCGTTCGATGATAATTCGGAGATCCTGCGACTGCTGGAAGAAGACCCGAGGTGTCAAGTTGTGATCGCGACCATTGCATTTGCGAACAGCCTGAATGTGAAGTCCTTGCTTGATAGCCTGTCCCTTGGCTTTCCCGAAACTGTTGCTCAGATGTGGCAGGAGAAGGGTCGCGTAGGGAGGCATCCAGACACCGCCGCTCGCGGAGTCGTTTTTTTCCAGCCGAGTGTTTTGGCTGATGCGGAGAAGCAAATTGCTGGTGCGTCCCTGTTGTTTGAATGCGTCCAAAATCTTATATGTCATTTAGGCCTTGGTGCCCCGCTGGCAGCGCCGCAAATCAACCCCAAGACAGGGAAACCTAGACGTAAAAAGAATATCAAGCCCATGGAGCATGCGAAAGTTGTGTTGCTCATCGAGAAACGGTGCTATATCGCTGCGATCAATCGGATATACCAGAATCCGCCCATGGAAATCAGCACGCTGGACTGTATTGCAACCAAACGACGCCTTCCATGCTCCTTGTGTGCTGCGCGACGGGAAATTTCACCGACTTTCCCACCTTCACCACTTCCATCCGGGATCACTCTACCCCCATTCACCCCGTCCGTCGCTATGCAAGAGCCGCTATCCGCAGCACAGAAAAAGCTCAAGTTGACGAAAAAAGAGCGAGACGTAACGGCGGCCTCCCTTGCCGCATTCGGAGAGACTGTTCGGCTTGCAGAGCGCAAAGATATAATTCATCAAAACCGACCCAGATCCTCTTTCTTCCCCGCCTCCATTTCCACCATCATACTCGACCATATTCTGTCTCTGAACTCCTCCACAACCCTTTCTACTGTGATAAAATCGTGGATTTTTGCGCCTAGTTATGTCGGCCCTCTCTACGATGTTATCAAAAGTATACAAACTGAGATCAACTCTCAACGGGAGGCAGCCCGACGCAACAAAACCGCGAAACAAAAGGCGACTCGCCGGGCCAAGAAGGGTATGCGGTGGTCAGATTCGGAAGACGAAGAGGAAGAAATGGGGGACAGTTCGAGTAGCGGCGAAGAGGTCGACATACACCCGCGCTCATCGCCCATTCCGCCTCCTCCAAAGCGTACAAAGACCGTTTTGGTGGAGCTAACAAACCGGGAGCGAGCTCCACGCCCCCGAGCGAAACAAGAAGCCGCCACCGTCATCGCTGCAACGTATAGACCACCATATAGGACATCGCGGAGACGGGCTGCTGGAGCAGAATGATGTCCGTTCAAATCCATTGTTTCTCTCTGCGGTATCTTACTCAAGTTTTTCGTCGTCAGATCCTTCTTCGTACTCGCTGCTCTGAGGCTCGTCCTCCTCTTCAGACGATTCCAACTCCTCCTCTGGCCCACACAACCGTTCCAAGACCGATTCAAACTCCTCTTCCTCGTACCAATCAGCGTTCAGGCGGCCCGTCGCACTGTCCACGGTTACGGCCAAATCGGATCCGCTAACAAGTTTTTCGTCGCTGTGATCAACAAGATCCCACTCCTGAACTGAATCTGTAGCAGAACGAGCAGCGCTGGAACAGTAGCTGCGACCCGAGCTCCGAACGAGTGAGAATGGGACGAGGAGTGGATGGATGGGTGTGATGCAGTAGAACCGTTGTTGGAGTCGCGCGAATACGAGGCTTCAGACAGCACTGGACTGGCGCGATCCACGTCAATAGCTTGACTTTCCGGGACGCCGTTGCGAATGATCTCCATGTCCCGCACAATTTCGGCGTATACCGCACTGCGTTCAAGGAACTCCGCCATTTTACCTTCTTCGAGCCTTTGGTAACCGCGGTCAAATCTATTGACTGCTGCGTGACTCATGGTACGCCCCCAGCGAAAGAGGTGAAGCTCCTCTTCCTTGTACATGAGCAGCAAAACTTTGGTCTCATCACGAAGGTGAGGGGACGTGTGTCCTTTACCGCGG